GCGTTGCTCCCCCTGGAATTCATCAGGTGGTCCATAGGGAATTTTTGCAGGAGCTTTTGCCATAGCACCTTGAGAAAGCAGCATTTAAAGCAGAGAGAGAGGAGAAGAGCCTCAGGAGTCAGATGAGCTGGGCCGCAGTCCTCCACTCAGCTTCAAGAGCCCTCATTCTGAGTCTCCTCCTTCTCTAAAAGCAATTCAGAAATGCTTTTTAAAGGCAAGTTGTGCATCAGAGAGAATTTCTACTGCCAGGAGACATCCCAGTTCACTTTAATGTAATGTGTTAATTCATGCATTGATTCCTGAGTATGGGAGAAGATTTTCCCCATGGTCCCACCACTGGTCAGTGGCACGGATGCAGGATGAGATTAGGGTGATTCTGGCTGTTTGGGGAATAGGCCCTTCCAGGTACAGCTGTACTTTGCTCCAAGATGCTCTTCAGCATCCTTTTCCATGCTCAACACCTCAATCCTCCTGTCTTCCATCCAGGCTTTCAGTATCCTGCCACTGTCAGGTGTGCTGCAGCCAGGAGAAAGCCAGCAGGTCTCCTTCACCTTCTTTGGCCACCTCAACACCATCTCTGATGTCACGGCGCTGTGCCATGTGGAGGGAGGCCCCACCTACGAGGTGGTGGTGACCGGGGAGGCCTCACATCTCACCTACTCTCTGAGCCTGCAGGAGATCAACTGTGGCTCTCAGGTACCACACACAGCCCTTGGCACAGCTCCTTGCTTGGCACCATGGCCAGCAGGTTCCTGCCCACCTCAGTCCAGGGCTCCCTCCCCTTCCCAGCCCCTTTGTTGGCCCTGGGGCTTGGAATACAACCTTTGAGGGACACATCTGGCATCCAAGCTGGTTTAAAATGGCCATCTCCAACCCTCTCCAAAACGTTGGGAGTGCCTCTTTTTCAGGGTACCAAAACTGCCTCCTGGGGCAGGCAGGGTCCCAGGGGAGTGCTCTGAGGGGTGTGTCCCTGAGAGATCCCTCTGCTGATCCATGCCTAAAGCCTGACCTCCAAGGAGATGCTCGTGTCTAAAGCTCTTGGTTAATCCACACAACAATCCAGGGAAGAAGTTGGGCTTCCAGTCACTACAGTTGGAGGGACTGTCCCAGAATAATTCCCACTTCACTGTTTTTCAGTTGAAAGCCCACAGATATTTCCAGCTGCTGGCCCTGTCTGTGTTGCCCTGTGTGACTCCCTTGTTGCATGTAGGTTGCTTGCCAATACTTGCATGCAGGTGTCTTTTCTCCTGCAATGCCTCAGTGCTGTCTCTGTTTCTCCTGGCTGTTGGTGACCCCTCAGAGTGCAGAGGGCCCGTGTCCCCCGGTTCATTTATTGCTGCCCCTCACACGGTTGTTACCACACCGCTGTGTGCTGCCAGAGCTCCCTGGTCCTGTGCAAGTGCCCTGTGTCTGGGGGTTCCCCGGGTTCCCAAGTGCCCTTATCTCCTCCCTGGTCCCTGCTCCCATGATGTGTCTGCTTCCAAGCCCAGGAGAGAGGAAGGAGATTCCCAGCAGCAGGCCTGAGTCTGTAACTTCCTGCTCCTGTGCCTTCTCTCCAGATGTTTAATGAAATTCATCACAGCACAGTCACCCTGTGGAACACTAGCAAAATTGAATTCAACTGGGTGCTAAAGCCCAGCGCTGCAGCCCAGCGTCTGCCTGGTGTGTTTCTGGTCAACCCCACCACTGTAAGTAGCACAAGTGACTGACCCCAGCCCTGTGCCAGGTGGCCCAGGATAGTGTTAAAGGGAAGAAAAAAAGGGGAGGGGGTGGAAGGGGGAAAAAAGTCGGCAGGGAAAACCCCAAACCCAGCCATGAGAGAGAGACAGGGCTGTAAGGAATTTCTGCTGGGGGCAGAGCAGGTCAAACAAGGGCTCTCCTGATCGACTCCCCCATGGCCTTGGCTGGTGGGTGGCTCTGCTGTCAGAGGCAGACACCAGCAGGAGGCACAAGTGTGTTGGTCACTGTTCTGCTGTAAGGGAAGTAGAGGAGAATTCTTTTTGATCGATTTCTCAGACAAACAAAAAGGCACAAAACCAGCAAGTATTGTATCTGAAAACTGTTTATTGATAAAGAAAGGGCATGGTACTGACCAGAGTGGGGATAGGAAAGAGAACAGAGAGAGAAAAGGGAAATGGAGACAATAAACAGAGGACAGGGACAGAGCGATACCGCCAGAATGCTGGGCCACTCTGTCGGGTCCTGTTCGGCAGGTGGAGCATGTGCAGTTGTCCTAGTCCTGGTCATTTGTTACTTTTCAACACATTCAACAGTTTCCATTTCTTCATTGGTTACTGCAACAACTCTTCACCAACATTGGTATCACAACACAACATTCTCATTAAAAGAACTCTAAACTTCAGCAAAACTTCTTTTACAGAAGTCAAC